GAGTGTCTCGGAGTGTGAGTGTGCGTGTCTCTGAGTGTGACTGTCTCTGATTGTGAGTGTCTCTGAGTGTGAGTGTCTCTGAGTGTGAGGTGCGTGTCTCTGCGTGTGTCTCTGAGTGTGACTGTCTCTGAGTGTGAGTGTCTCTGAGTGTGAGTGTCTCTGAGTCTGAGTGTGCGTGTCTCTGAGTGTGAGTGTCTGTGAGTGTGCGTGTCTCTCAGTGTCTCTGAGTGTGAGGCGCGTGTCTCGGCTACTTTCGCTGTCGTTATCAACTGAGCTTCAGCACTGTTTGGGTCTTTTCTGGCCCTGACTCCTTGAAAACGAGAATTTAGCCGCCCTGCCAGATAGCCGCTCCACACACAAAACAAACTCTGCCAGTATTTTGCAAGCGTCGTTAACGATGAGTATTTGTACATAAAACAAAAATACTAAAAAAAAGTACAACTCATGAAGGTTGTATTTCTCTTCTTTATCTGGTTTCTGATATTTTCTGGGCTTTCCGTGTGAGCTCTGTGCTCGTGTGGTGCCGTTTTCATGATCGATGGCCTCCCCCTCGTACGGAGACGTTTGTACACCACGCGACACAAATCACCCCGCCACGCTTCTCGCCGGCGTTGTTGCACTCATGAGTCTATCGTTGGCTGCATCGCGACAGGCTAAAAATTTTAAAAAATGAAAAATTCGTGTGGCAGCGTTGGCGTCTGTGGCTCCACGCGCCGCGCTCCCCCGCCACTCGCAAGCAACCGTAAGGTGACGGGTTCAACTCCTCATCGGGGTCTTCTTTGTCTGACCTCGAACTCGCCATCATCACCTTGGGGGGGGGGGGGGGTGGTGGTTTCATTCCTTGGTTACTTCACCGCACGATGAAGGACTTCCTATGTCGTGTTAGTCACGGGGGGGGGGGGGGTGTGGGGGGAAGTTTGACCATACTTCACCACGCCGGTCAGCACGGGTTGGTGTGAAGGGCGGGTCCGGATGGGTTTCGGACATCGCTCGCTGCCGACGTTCCCCGCGGCCGCGTCTGTCGCTCCGCCGTCACGGCTCGGGGCTTCGTGCGCTCCGCAAACCGCGAGCGTCCCTCGTGGGTCACAAAGCCCGGCCAAACGTTTTCGTGAGAAGCGGTGGACCCTGCTCGGGCTGCACCAATCGATGTTTTTTCTGCCGCCGATATTTGCTGGCCCACCGGTTGTTCAACTTTGTTCCCATCGACCACGCGCGCGCAGCGGGAGCGGTGGCAGCACCCACCCCCCCGCCCCCCCGCTCTCCCCACGCGGCGCAGGCTGAGCGCGCGTGCCGCCACGCCTGGCACCACGCGGCCGCGCGTCGGCTCCGATTTAAAGATGAGAGGCGTCGGCGAGGGTGGTGGCGGAGTGGCCGAGCCGGACGCAGAACGCTCGCAACGCTCCCGTCGGCCCCTACCACCCCCCCCCCACCCCACGTGGCTCCGAGTTCGTTCCTCTATTGGGGACCAACGTTTCCCTGACCGCGACGCGTGCCCTAAGCTGCTGCTTGGCATATGAATGAACGAATGGTTCTTTCAGGAGAGAGAGATGGGTTGTGTGTGGGGTGGGGGGCGGGGGTGGCGGCTTTGAAGCGCGAGCTTGATAATCCGTCTCTCGGCGCGGCTCGGGGTGGGAGCCTTGAGGGCCAGGGGGGGGAGGAGAGGGCCGGGAGGAGAGGGCCGGGGGGAGAGGGCCGGGAGGAGAGGGCCGGGGGGGGAGAGGGCCGGGAGGAGAGGGCCGGGGGAGAGGGCCGGGGGAGAGGGCCGGGAGGAGAGGGCCGGGGGAGAGGGCCGGGAGGAGAGGGCCGGGGGGAGGAGGGCCGGGGGAGAGGGCCGGGAGGAGAGGGCCGGGGGGAGAGGGCCGGGGGAGAGGCCGAGAGGAGAGGGCCGGGGGAGAGGGCCGGGGGGAGAGGGCCGGGGGGAGAGGCCGGGGGGAGAGGCCGGGGGGAGAGGCCGGGGGGAGAGGCCGGGGGGAGAGGCCGGGGGGAGAGGCCGGGGGGAGAGGCCGGGGGGAGAGGCCGGGGGGAGAGGCCGGGGGGAGAGGGCCGGGGGAGAGGCCGGGGGGAGAGGCCAGGGGGGAGAGGGCCGGGGGGAGAGGCCGGGGGGAGAGGCCGGGGGGAGAGGGCCGGGGGAGAGAGGGCGCTAAACGCTTTTCAAGCTATCAATTCCGGTTCAGTGATTCTGCACTTGCTCTATTACTATAGTACTATACCGCCTTAAACTTTTACGAACGATCCTGGTGTTTAAGGTTAGCGATTTGTCGCATAATCTGGCTGTATAGCAAATAAATAAAAAAATACAATTAATTTACTATACAATTTTAAAAATGTATGTTTTGAATATTAAAGTTGTATTTATTTATTTAGTGTCCCTCTATAACATATGCTACAGGCCCCGCACTAGCTGGACATGGCCAAGGAGGGATGTAGGAGGCCGGGGTCGGGGAGGAGGAGGCCAGGGACAGGCCACGCAACGATTTTGCCCCCCCCCCCCTCGCCCCGTCAGAGACGAACCTCTCGATGTCTCCTGGGAGACCGCTTTACCGTCGAAGGCTTGCAGTGGTTCGAGGCACGACGACGCCAGGATAAGTGAGTGGCGTTTATTGCAACCGTAAAGCATACAGTAAATTGGTACAGTGTAGTTGCAGCCATAATCTGAAACACACTCGCTGTCATCAAGAAGCCACGGGCACAGCTCCATCGCTGCTCGCGCCAGAAGAACAGCAGCCGTGGCACGCTCGGAACTCAACCCCCCACCTCAGCCGGTTCTAAGTTCCACCATCACCCCCATCACTACCATCACCGCTGTCATCATCATCACCACCGCTATCATCACCACCGCCATCATCAACATCACCACCACTGCTGTCATCACCACCGCGTGGCTTCAGGGCTCCCCCTGGCCACCGATTTGTGGGCGCCACTCCGATGGTGGCCTCGGTGTGTCGCCCTCCATCTCCTCCCTGCACGGGAGTCCCACTCATCATCATCATTTCAATCTCATCCTCCTCCTCTCGCAAATGCTTTCCTGCCACGAGCTATCCAGAAAGTCCCGAGTTGTTTACCCCATCCCACCGTCACGTTCCTTGCATTTTCCACACGAACCTCTTTCCCCTCCCCGCGTCAACCCCCACTGTTGCAACCTTCACCGCCGTACGAGTTGCGTTCTTCCGAGGGCAGCTCTCTGGGCCGTTTCTGCAACGCTGGAATCACGACCCTGCTACCAAAAACACGTCGAGGAACCCGACAAGACGCCGCACGACCAATCTCATGGACCAATCACATCGACCAATCTCATCGACCAATCTCATCGACCAATCTCATCGACCAATCACATCGACCAATCTCATCGACCAATCACATCGACCAATCTCATCGACCAATCACATCGACCAATCTCATCGACCAATCTCATCGACCAATCTCATCGACCAATCTCATCGACCAATCTCATCGACCTGCTTCAACGGCCGAGGGGGCGTGGAAGGAGGAGACGTGTCTGCTCTGTGCTAGGCGTGTGCACGCGATCGGCGCCAATTTCAGAGGTCTGCTGGCGGCCACAACGAGAGGGCATCAGGGGAGAGGGCTGGCAGCAGTTTTGCTGTTCCTCCTTCCTTGAAGCAGCCCACACCTAGATGATTTACGACACGGTCCGTAGTTTCTGTTGCGTGATTACAATTGTTAATTCCAAGGGAGCACAATTCCGCATTTCGTATGGCTGGGGCTTTGCTGGCTGCCATGTGGAACCACATTACATTGCACTTGCATCGCTTCAAGAGTCCAAGATCACCAGACACTTTAATTCCGTGTTATATCATCATCATCGTAATAATAATATATCGATATTGTGCTCCATTTTCCAGAAACGGAGTCGCGCTACAACATTACAAAAAGCAAATTAAACAAAACTGAACTCGTAGTAGTTTCTTATAAAAGGGTTCACTGTAAATATTTACAGTGAGTCTCACTGCTTTTACGACATCTGGGACAGCAGGGCTTTGCTTTGCTTCGGCACGGCCGCTGGTGGGGCCCGTGGGGCCCCCACAACACCACGGCCGCTGGTGGGGCCCGTGGGGCTCCTACAACACCAGGGCCGCTGGTGGGGCCCGTGGGGCCCCCACAACACCAGGGCCGCTGGTGGGGCCCGTGGGGCTCCCACAACACCAGGGCCGCAGGTGGGGCCCGTGGGGCCCCCACAACACCACGGCCGCTGGTGGGGCCCGTGGGGGCCCCCACAACACCAGGGCCGCAGGTGGGGCCCGTGGGGCCCCCACAACACCACGGCCGCTGGTGGGGCCCGTGGGGCCCCCACAACACCAGGGCCGCTGGTGGGGCCCGTGGGGCTCCTACAACCCCACGTCCCGCTGGTGGGGCCCGTGGGGCCCCCACAGCACCAGGGCCGCTGGTGGGGCCCGTGGGGCTCCTACAACACCAGGTCCGCTGGTGGGCCCCAACAGCAGCACGGCCGTTCCCCCGCCCCCCCCCCCCCCCCTCGCGTCACGTCCACAACGTGGTGCACCTCCCACCGTTTGCCATAACTCTCACGGCCCCCGTCGTAGTGTGTATATTAATATTCTTGATATTAACAACAACAAAAAAACCTCCCTCGTTTTTACATTTTCCTTTGCTCCAGTAACCTAAACGATGCGTACTTCGCACGTGACTGGCGCACATTGAACGACGCCGAATCCTACGCAGGCCGCTCGCGATGCGTTGGACGCGTCGCGAGCGTCAAGACGCGTCGCGTCGCGACCCCCGACACGACGCGGGATCGCCCACCGCCTGCCGCCTCTGCTCGCCTGACTCAGGTTACACGACGGCCGGTGTCGGGGTCGCCACCATTGCCACCGTCGACCAAACCCCCCCCCCCCCCCGGGACGTGTCGCTCGGTCGCCACTCGGCCCCTTATCGCATCCGTGCGGTCGCCCGCGACAATGTTCAGCGCGACACCGCCGCTACGGGATCTCATGCCGTACACAGATGGCCGACTCCCCCCCCCGCCCCCCCCCCCCCGCACGCCCAGGGGCCGGGTGGCAACCCGCGACTTCCCCCAACGCCGCCCACGGACCGCCCCCGCCAACGGCGCGGCCCACGGGCGCGTCAGGCTCTGAAGGGGATGGCGTTGTGGCGTGCTCGCTTCTGTGCCGTCGCCTGGCCCCTGGGGGGGTGGAGCGCGTGAGGGGCGCGCGGCTCCCCCACGCCGCCGCCGCCCCCGCCGCCCCCGCCCCCGCCGCCGCCGCCCCCCTCCTCCCAGGCGCCGGAGCCGCTCCCTTTGCCCAGCAGCCTGCGGTAGCCCTCGGCCGCCTGCTTGCCGTCCTTCTTGGCCTGGCGCAGCACACGCTTCAGCTTCTTCACCTGCGGCGGAGCGAGGGGGCGGGGTGAGACGGTGAGCGTGCCTGGCCCGCGCGGGCCCTGGCTGAACCTCGCGCTTGATTTGCCGTCTACTAAGTCGGTGTTGGTTTGTGCTTGTTTGTGCTTGTTTCGTCTTTCTGTGAGGCTCAGCCGAGACGCGCGGTGGGCTGACGGCCGCATCTCCTCCCTCGGTGAGCCCCGGCCACACTGGGCAGTGGCGTCCTGACCACGGCCCCCCCCCCCACCCGCTGCCCGTAGGGCCCCCCCCCCACCACCACCCCCCGCCTGCCTTACTCCGGCATGCAGGAGGAGAGCAGCCGTGGCGGCAATTGGCACTCGGGGAAGGCGTCGACTTGCCTTTTGCTGCAGGTGCCGGTTCTTTTTCTCGAGCACGGAGAGCTGCTTCGTGAGCTTCCGCACGCGGTCCTCCTCTTCGAGCAGCGCCGACTGGATGGGGGCACAAAGCATCTGCAACACAGCCACGTGGGTGGGGAGTGGGGGGGGGTGGTGGGAGCACGCACATCGGGTAAATGGGGAAACTCCGTGCGATGGCACAGACTTCGAACTCCCTCCCGCCCTCTCTTTTCCCAAGCTCTAGGAAGCGTTGCTCAATTTCAAGACGCGTTGGTAACTCTGTGACGCGCGTCTACGAAGACAGCGCCGTTTGTTGCTGGCCGCTCGACGCTTTGGGGCTTTTACAGCTGTGTGGCCTTGCCCCCCCCCCCCTCCACCCCATTCCACCCGCGCGAAACCAAAATAAGTCCGTAAAGAATTCCGTGGCGGCCGTGTCGGGCCGTGACGTCTCGCGCGGGCTGCGCGTTTATTTTTAGGGGGAAATTAATTTCAACTCCATCACGGGCGCTGGCTGGCAAATCGCCCGCCGCACCCCGCGAGCCACGTACGGCAGCCTCCGTCCACTCGATCACGTGCCGGCAGTCGCCTGAACCCACGCCCTCGGCCGCCTTTGTCTCCCCCAAGTTGCCCGACATTCACGCACCGGGATAACCGATTTTCGGGGGGGGGGGGGGGTGGGGAGGCTGAATTGACCTGTCTGGTAGCCCGCGGGCAGGTAGCGATGCCTGCCGGGGAATCGCGGCGATACCTCCGAGCCAACTGAGTCGATGGCGCCCGGCGATTTTGAACGCCCGGCGGCAATGAATCTGGCGCACGGGGCGATCGCTATCGAGTTTTAATCCGGCGCCGCCCGCCCTCGTGTCTGCTATGAAACGCGGCTCCCGTTGGGAGCAGGATTCGCGGGACGCGTGGGGGGGGGGGGCTGCCGGTGGGGGGGAGCGCATCGGGTGCCCCCCCCCCCCCATCCCCGCTGCATGCGGGGACGAAGCGGTCGCTCGTGAATTCCGATGGCACCGTTGGAGTTGACATCGGAGAGGAAACGTTCGCCGGTTATTTCCTGTCTCTCAAAGGTTCACGGCAAATGCCATCTGCACGTGTTTCGCGCCGCGAATGTGTCTCCTCCGCCGCGGGGTAGATTTAGCGAAGCCACGTCAGGCGTGGGAATGAGCAACATCCATCATCAAACTCATCGCTCAGGGAAGGGCCGTCACGGAAAAAATGAATTTGCCGTGCAATACATCGAGCACGGATTGGGGATTTAAGGAACAGGTCGACAAACGATCGCCACGCAGCCCAAACGGGGAGCTGCAGTCGTGTCACCGAAATAAAAACAAAAATAAAGTCAGCCAAGAAGGTCACCGTTTGGTAATGTGGCCCTCCAAAGACGGAGCATCAGATACATATTTTTTTTTTCTATCTGATGCCACCCGATATTGCGATCACGTCAAACGGAATTCTCCGAAATGTCACGCGTTACGCATCACGAGTAGGGTCGAGTTACAGCCCCTCCGCACTCAAACGAGCGAAGAGCAGCAATCATCGGCATTCGACGTCCTGAGCCAGCGGTGGAAATTCCACATGCCCATGGCGAGTGCCAGTCTCTCCACAGTACCGCCCGTCTGTTGACTTCCAGCGTTTTTGGTTTCTGGCTTTATCGAGCACGGTGGGTTGACGGAGCCCGGAGTCAACCTCTGGCCCGGATTCGAACTCGTCAACCATTCCGACTGCGGGTCAGCTGGCGCGCCATCTACAGCGCGTGGGGCGGTGGGGAGACGCCCGTGCGCTGGCGAGGGACGCGCCATGCCGGCACGGCACGGCACTGCACGGCACGGCACTCGAGGCCGGCACGGCACGGCACCCAAGCGCCGGCCGCCTTTCATGATGAAAGCACCGCCGCAACAAATAGTCGTTTTAGGCTGAGTAGACCTAGAGGCCCCTCCCCCCCCCACACCATTTACATTTAACGCCGTGCATAGGGTCGCCTGCCGGAACAGGCTGGGATTTGGCTCCGGAGTGCGGGTGGCGGAAATTTGATTCGCGCAGAGATCCGGAGCCGGTGTTGCCGGTGTCGAACTTTGGTTTGGCGAACTGCGCGGTTCTGGCAGTGGGCCTATGGTGGGAAAAGGTGGCCACCCACGCTGAGCATCCTGGCCACGAATTGAACCCACGTCATCAAGGCCTCGTGATTGACTTGGCCTTGCCGTAGACACGCGGGTACAGTGCCGCGATGATTGATCAAACCTGACACCGCTTCGGCGCGATGAAAGCAACGTTGAGATCAATGTGTCTCCAGCGCACCGAGGCTGCTCCTCATCGCAGTCCCTCGGGCACAAGTGGCGGCAGTAGCCATCATATGGCTACTCTGCACCGGTGAATGCCAAGAAGGGTGAAGCTGGCACGCGTTTGCCTCGCTGCTGCGATGTTCCACACGTGAACAATGCCACAATCTCGCCTCTTGGGCTGTGGCCAACGCCATACTGGAGCACAATGTACGCGGGGACGTTGATGTCACCGTGACATCAACAGCACGCTGCAATTCAGTTGTGTTTTGCTGATAACGTTTGGTAACATTATCGTTTGTGCCCGGGCTGCACACGTGTTTGTGGCTGTTGCCTTGGCTATTCAGCGAGAGAAAGGGTTTGGATTAGGATAAGATCTCCGTGTTTATTTGGCCAGCGTAGCGGTCGGCGCGCCGCGCGCTGAACCCAACGACCCGACTCTCGCTCACAGCCAACATCAGCGACAAATCTGATCCCGGTTCTGGGACCTCCCCTAGGTAGACTCAGCCTTAAACGAGCGCCTGGTGTGATGTGTAAACATCGGCACTGGGGATACAAAGGCGCCCGGGGCGTGGCGCTGACCACACCACCCTCCCCCCGCGTCGCATTGACATGCATAGGTGCTCGCTGACAGCACTTGCCGCAACCAGTACGTACGGCTGCAGGGGAGACCAATGGCTTTGGGAGGGCCTCTGGATGCGGCTTCTCATGCCAGAGGCCCCCCGTGAGCTCTGCGGGCTGTGCCCAGCTGGCCGCGCGTGCTGCTCCCGCGCTGCACAAAGCGGTCCCCTTAGCTCGGCGCCAGCCACTTAGCAGGCGTGGCACTGCCAGCCCCTGGCGAGACCACGGCGCGTGACCCGTGCGTGCCGAGGCAGGCGAGGTCGTTTGGCTCGAGCCCTCGACCTGGCCGAGCGCACGACGGCGTCCTCGCGTCTTGTGATGAAGTGGTTCTCTCGCGCTCGCTTCTTAGGTACCAAAGACAAAGATGCCTGAATGGCCTCAACACACTATTGGGGCAAGGGCTGTTAGCGAGGAGCTATAAATGCGGGCACGGCACGCAAGCTATCCGTGGTAAAGTAATCCTGATTATATTATTTGGGTCTTTCGGTAAAGTCACGTAGATAGGTTAGTTATTTGAGCCTATCTAGGTGACCCAAAGAATATGAATTCCTGCAGTCACGAAAGCTTTAATTCAAGATTTAAACCTGATTAATAAAGCATCTGTCGTGCGCACGAGCGCCTTCTCAAGGCGCAGTAGGAACGGCAAATCTCGTTATGTCAATTCCATTTGGTGGCATTTTGAACGTTAAAAAACCCCATCTCAGCTACAGGCGCTACTGGCAAGGGACATCTGACTCTCACGGGAGCTCATCGCCTTTATTTATCCGGGAAATCCGTACGGACTCCCGAGGCTCGCGCGTTGGGATGTTTGCCCATCCTCATCAATGAGCTTTTTGCCTGCGGTAGAAACCTGAGCACGCGAACAAAATCCACGCAAAGGAAGGCATAACGCGAGAATATCCGTGCGAATGGATTCAATAATCTACCTGCTGTGATGACATCTACATTGGCTACCTTGGGCCAGAAGGTTTGAGAGTCTCACAAATCTGTGTTAATGCACAAACACTCGCCTCCAATGTGCTGGACCACATTGCTGGCCGTTGAGAGCGAGTTTGAATGAGCGAGTTTGAATGAGGCGTGTTGGTCAGGCTGTGCCTCCACCCCAATATCTCCCACCAGGAGCCGCAAGCCCCCTACCACGTGGCCCATCAGCCAGGGGGCTTGGGCCCCGTACCCACTTGGGGTGGCAAATGGGATCAGTTTCCACCATGGGCAACATCTCCAACACCGATATCTTACATCAAGTAACACCACGGCACCCTTCCCTAGCGGCGTTTATCTCGCGAAAAGCTTCCGGTGCAACTCTGCGATCGGCACGGAGCCCTCGATTCCCGAAGACAATATTTGCTGGCAATGGCCACCGTGGGCGGTTACCCGCGAGTTATTTATTTTTTGGTGGCATTGCCACTGGAGGACCGCGACCCAAGGGCGGGCAGCCGTGCATGGGGGCTGCCGTCTGTCCCTGCTGCCGCCGCTCCTGCCACCGCTGCTGCCACCGCTGCTGCCACCGCTGCTGCCGCTCACCTCGTTGTCCTGCTGCACCTCCCACTCGGGCGAGAAGAGGTGGACCTGCGCGCCCTGCGAGCAGTTGGCGAACTGGAAGAGGCTTGAGAACATTCGGCGCGAGTCCTGCGTCTCCGGGAAGATTGCGTCCTGGAAGTTGACGCCGTGTGGCACGAGGTGGTAGTTCTCATCCATCCTGACAGGGAGCGCAAAGACAAAGGTCCCCCGTGTAGCCTTAACAGACTGTTGGGGCAAGTGCTGTTAGCGAGGAGCACCTGTGAAGGCCGGAACGGCGCACGAGGGGGTGGGTGGCCAGCACCACGCCTGGGGAGCACGGTGTGTGTGTACGCTCCGGTACACACAAAGGTACGCACAGGTACACACTCAGGTACACACACACAGGTACACACACAGCTACGCACAGGTACACACACAGGTACGTACAGGTACACAAACCGGTATGCTCAGGTACACAGGTACGCACAGGTACACACACAGGTACGCACAGGTACACATGCAGGTACGCACAGGTACACACAGTTACACACGCAGGTACGCACAGGTACACACACAGTTACACACCCAGGGACGCACAAGTACACACACAGGTACGCACAGGTACACACACAGGTACACACACAGGTACACACAGGTACGCACAGATACACACAGGTACACACACAGGTACGCACACAGGTACACACACAGGTACACACATGTACGCACAGGTACACACACAGTTACACACACAGGTACACACACACAGGTACACACGCACAGGTACACACACAGAGATACACACACACGGACAGCAATCCCCGTACATACCCAGTCATGGTCTAACCCGGCTTCTGTCCCTCTGTGTGGGTCGTGCCGTGCGTTGTTTACCGCGATGTCAGACGTTTCGCTCTACGAACTTGGGTTCGTCTTCTGCTTATGAAATTTCAGCGGCCCTATCAACTCTCTAACCCGCTCACCCTCTCCCGCACCACGAGCTGGGGCTTATGTCTGCACGGACGAGCGTGGGCTCCTCCCACGTGTACGCTCATTACTCGTCCCAGAACATCTTAATATGTAGGGGTCCGCAGAGCTCGAGGAGAAGCGTGGCGCCGGCTGACCGCATGGGATGCTGCTGCATCCCCGCTCGTCCTCGGCTCCTCCTCGCGCCTCTCGGGGCGAGCGAACGGATTGCGGTGGCGGCGGCGGCGGCGGCGGCGGGGCGTCGCTGCGTCACGAGTTGAACTCTGTCGTTTCATCGCCGTTCAATCGTCAGCACTGGGCATTCGCCAAATCCAGTGGAAGCCTCCGATGTAAGTCAATGCCGGCTACACCCACCCACCCACCCGCGCGCGTACGCGCGCGCGAACCTCCCTTCACTCAGTCGCTCACACACTCAGTCGCTCCAGCCTCAAGAGGCGTAAAAATCTTGATTTGAAGCTTTCGCCACCGCAGGAATCCATACTCTTTGGTTCTTTCGGTAAAAGTCACGTAGGTAGAAAAATTAAATAAAAATCAAGAGGCGTTCGCTCGCGGCGCCTTTCGTCTCAACGAGGGGCTGCTCCTGTGTCTCCGCGCGCGTCCGCGACCCTGGCGCGCGATCTCCAACTTTTGTTTTTTGGCGTTCGAAGGGAAATTCTAAGGATTCGGGAGGGGGTGGGCAGGGGAAATCCCCGAGGCTCACAGCGAGCGCCAAAGCCACGGTGGCAAACAGGAAGGGGCACGGCACGCTTCGGGCGCGTTCGGGATCGCGACAAGGCGGGCATTGTCCCCGCGCGCCAATGGACGGCGTTTGACGACGGCCCAGGGGGTGTTGACACACGCACGCACGCGCACGCACGCGCGCAAAGATCCCCCGCGTGGCCCTAGCGGACTGCTGGGGCGAATGGCGAGCGCCGAAGCGAAAGCCGGCACGGCGCGCGAGCGCGTGCGGTGGCCAAGCACCACGCCCGGCCGCCTTTGTCTCCCTAAGTGGCGACGCTTTCACGCCGCATCGGGCGCTGAGTTGAGGTTGAGTCACACTGTACTGTTCGGTTCTTTCGGGTAAAGTCACGTAGAACCGAAGAGCACGGATTCCTGCAGTCACGAAAGCTTCAAATCTCGATTCGAGCCACGCTATTTTATCACTATTTTTTGTATTTTACCACGTAAGGGCCCCCCACTGAGCTGTGTAGCTGTTTTGCAGAAGCGACCTGGCCACAAATGATAGCTCAACGAAGCGGCTTGTCGCGTGGAAATGTATTAGCAGCCAAATACTCCAAACGCGCGTTTCTTAAATGTGGAGGGGAGATGGAAAATGCAAACCTCAAACATTCAGGCATCAGCGTCGGGGACTGAACCTTGGGGAAGTCCAGGACCGGTTCAGATAATCGTCACCGGTGTTGGCCGTGAGCGGGAATCGAACCCGGACGGCCGGGTTCGTCGCGCAGCGCAGCGCTAACCGCTGCACCACCGCTCCCCACACGAATGTGCCCCGTGAACACAGCTAATGCTGCGGGGCGGCACGTGCGACCAGCACGCACGCCTCGGCCGCCTTTGTCTCCCCGGTGCTGATGCTGGAACACGCCGGACCAGATGCGCGTTGTCTATTTCATGGCCGAGCGGACCTAGAGGATGTCTCGCGGTGCGTGAGCGGGCTGCAGCTTGCCAGGATTGGCCACCCGCCAAGGCCATCCCATGGACGTCGTCACCCACAACAAGCCCTGGCCACTTAGGGCCCCCCACCCCACCCCCCAGCATCCTGACTCGCGAAGGCGGGAAACCCCCCGACAGGCCACGCCCAGAGCGCTCCAGCTGATTAAGCTCCTCCTACAGCACCCGGCCAAGTAGCGGCCAGGGCCCAAAGCGCCGAGTGGCCGGCAACGAACAGCACCGCCAACAGTGGGGGGACATGGATGGAAGTGGCGATGATAACAATGACGACGATGATGGTGATAAGGGGCCGTCCGTAAATGACGTCACGCGATTTTGGACGATTTTTGACCCCCCCCCCCCCTCGTCACACGGAGTCACAAAAGTCAGACCCCCCTCAGATATGACGTCACAAAGCTCCGCCCCCCACCCCCCCCCCAAAATAAAACATGCTTCAAATAGCTTTAAACTATTGTCATTGTAGTGCGTATTTAATGTGGCGCTGCACTCTGATGTTGTAGGAGAAAACATTTAATTAAAAAGTCTATTTAATTAAGTAGAACGTGTTTGTCTATATTTATTTAAAGTTGCGCATTTTGACGTTACGTCACATTTCTCAACACCCCCCTCCTCCTCGTCACACATCGTCACAAATATCTGACCCCCAGATGCGTGACGTCATTTATGGACTTCCTCTAATGACGCGACGACGGTGCTGCTGCTGAGGACGAGGACGCCGAGGCGCACCTCAGGAAGAAGAAGTATGTGTTGTTCTCCATGACGGTGTACGAGTGGCACGAGAAGTATCCGAGGCCCGTGACGTTGAAGCGCGCCCCGGCGGGCATCTCGAGCATGGAGCCCCAGGCCTGGTCGCACAGCAGCTCCACCTCGGCGGCGTACAGCAGCTCCGAGTCCCCCTGCCACGGCAGGAGGTTGTGCGCCCCGTACGAGTCCTGGTGCAGCGCCAGCACCTTGGCCATGACGATGATCTCGGCGAGCTCGGCGCGGCACGCCTCGCTCTGCGGCCGCCAGTCCTGGGGCAGCTGGCAGCCCCAGCAGCCCCAGCAGGAGGTCCACGCTAGCAGCAGCAGCAGCAGCGGCGGCGGGGTCCGCTCATCCCGGGAGTTTCGCGACGTGGACGAGGCCCGGGCCATGTCGGCGAGGTGGAGCGGCGAGTCGAGGCTGAGTCCTCCCGCCTCGCTCCCCGTGGGCCGCGGGCTCGTTGGGTGACCTCGCGAGCGGTGACTCGGCTTGGGGTCAGAAGCTCTCTGCAGGGAGAGAAGAACGCGCGGGCGTCCTTCCAGCCAGCACCCAGACAGCAGCAGCAGCAGCGGATTGTGCGACAACCAGCGGCAGCGGACGTGTCGGTCTCAGCCTGTCTCATCTCAGCCACGCTGTGTTCCACCACCACCCCACGGCCCAAGACAACACACTCAGTCACACACCCACTCACTCGGTCACACACACACCCACTCACTCAGTCACCCACACACCCACTCACTCAGTCACACACCCACTCACTCGGTCACACACACACCCACTCACTCAGTCACCCACACACCCACTCACTCAGTCACACACCCACTCACTCAGTCACACACACACCCACTCACTCAGTCACACACACTCACTCAGTCACACACCCACTCACTCAGTCACACACCCACTCACTCAGTAACACACCCACTCACTCAGTCACACACCCACTCACTCAGTCACACACCCACTCACTCAGTCACACACCCACTCACTCAGTCACATACCCACTCACTCGGTCACATCCACTCACTCAGTCACACACTCACTCAGTCACACACCCACTCACTCACACACCCACTCACTCACACACCCACTCACTCAGTCGCACACCCACTCACTCAGTCACACACCCACTCACTCAGTCACACACTCACTCAGTCACGCTCCCACTCACTCACACACCCACTCACTCAGTCGCACACCCACTCACTCACTCACACACCCACTCACTCAGTCGCACACCCACTCACTCAATCACACACCCACTCACTCAGTCACACACCCACTCAGTCACACACCCACTCACTCAGTCACACACACACTCACTCAGTCACACACCCACTCACTCAGTCACACACCCACTCACTCAGTCACAGACCCACTCACTCAGTCACACACCCACTCACTCAGTCACACACACACTCACTCAGTCACACACCCACTCACTCAGTCACACACCCACTCACTCAGTCACACACACACTCACTCAGTCACACACCCACGCACTCATGCACCCATCCACGGACACACCCACTCAAGCACCCACCCACGCACTCACGCATCCACCCACTCACTCACGCACCCACTCACACGCACACACCCACTCACTCAACCACCCACCCACTCAGGCAACCACCCACTCATACGCACACACCCACTCACACGCACACACCCACTCATACACACCTTCATCCACCCACCGGACATACACCTCCGATTAGCACGGTTGGCTACGTACGGTGCGAACGAAGTTCAATATCCACACACACATTGCAGGTCACTATACTTCCGATTCGTAATTCGTTTACCTTGGGTCAGATCGTGTCGGTGAAATGTCATTGTGTGAAATGTCATTGTGGGAAACGTCATTGTTTTCACGACACCCCTCCACCACCCGACCGAGGCAAGCGAGTCACGTGGGCAAACGGCGATTGATTTGGTTGATCAGCAAAACGAGCGAGGATGTCGAGACGCTGGCTACGTTGTTGACAATTTCCATCCGACGCGAGTCCTCAAGATCAACGTCATCGTCATCATTGCCCCTACGCGGCCTACGCCCTTCAAGGAAACGAATCACGAATCGTGACCCTTGGGCGTGAACGCCTTCGCATGTTCTGACCCCAGACGCATCTCTCTCTCTCTGTCTGCTCCTTCTCTCGCACCGCTCCACCGGGGGGATTCCCCACCCCACCCCGGTCATCCCTTCCCGCCCAAGCTCTCGCTATAATACAGCCATCGCCTTTCTCCATTCGAGAGACGCTGCCTACGCTCTTATCGATCACAACGTTGATTATAGTGCTGTTTGTGGCTGGCCGCTCCAGGTTGTGGACCCTTTGCTCTTGCAACTGTGTTTACAACAAGAGCGCCGCTGCTGCTGCTGTACAATGATCACCCATGTGGCCTTCAGTGGGGGGGGGGGGGGTAAGTAGCACCAACGAAGGCCGCCCGCACGATACGCGAGGCGTTGCGTGGCCAGCTCCACGTCCTGCCGCGATGTTTACGCACCGCATCAGGTACTCATTTGAGGCCGAGTCGACCTAGGGGAGACCCAAGAGCGATTTCAAATACCCCCCCCCCCCCACCCCCTAGAGTTATTGGTCGTGGAGCGGGAATCGACGAACTCGGGTCACCGGGGTGTGCGACGCAGTGCGCTAACCACCGCGCCACCGCTCCTCGGTGCTATCGCCGCGCACATAACGCCGGGACGAGGCGTCTGGAGCTCCGCTCACTCCAAGCTGCTGGGCGACGCGGCGCCGCCGTGGGTGGAGTTCTCGTCGTGAAAGGAACGCGCTGGGTCCGTCTGGCGGCTTTGGTGCACCCTCAGGCACGCGCTGGGTCGACGCTCAAAGGGAAAAGAGCTGGCCCCCGGGGCTTTGCTCGCCCTGGATGACGCTGGCGAAGCGGCCTCCCCTAGTGAGCCCCTTGAGAGGAGACTGAGACTCTCTAGAGGAGACTGAGACCCTCTAGAGTGCCACTCGAACCCCCCTTGCACATCGCCCCGATGCCTCGACTCGACTACCTCCACGCCGTCCACCGCGTGCAGGACACGCGAGCCACCCCCGTGACCCCTGTGACCCCCGTGACCCCACCGGCCAGCTGGAGGGCACGCGGGCCACCCCCGTGACCCGCGTGACCCCCCGTGACCCCACCGGCCAGCTGGAGGGCACGCGAGCCACCCCCGTGACCCGCGTGACCCCCCGTGACCCCCGTGACCCCACCGGCCAGCTGGAGGGCACGTGGCGTGCCGCCCCTTGTCGGCGGCCACTACTTTAGAAGCAGCGTCTCGGGCTTTGCGGTCCTCACGGACGCGGCGACTTTGACCAAATCGCTTTTTTGAGTCGCGCAGAAAGGGAAATGAGAGGGGGGGGGGTCAGGGGGGGGGGGCGACTCAGCGAGCCCCGAACGAGAGCCCCTGCGAGGAGTCGAGGAACTCTCACGGGGTGCGCCCTCCCGAGACGTCGGCACGCACTCGTGGCTAAAGGCGCAGCCCTGCAAGTTCTCGCTCTCGCCGCTGTTGTTGAAGCGAGGGGCCTCCATTGCGAGAGGGAGTGGGGGTGCTCGGCACCGCTCTGCCGCGCTTCTCTGATGTTTATAAAGTGGTGGAAGTTACCCACAGTTTGCCCCACCACCGACAACAACAACAACCACCACCACCACCATCACGCGACAATCTGCCGATATCCGCTACTGCTGCCCGTATGCTGCACACTGCTGCTGAGTGGACAGCGGAGGCGGCGTGGAGGAACTTTGCCGCGTGGTTTTTAACCACCGCGACCAGGACTCGAACCTGGGATGCGAAGTCCGCTGCTCGCTGCTCCCCTCCCCCCGAACGCCGTCCCGCGCTGTCGGTGATTTACAGCCGCAGGAGGAGCAGCAGCAGCAGGAGCAGCAGGAGCGGAATCCTTACCGAGTGATTAGGCAGCCTCCAGCCAGCGCATTGCTCCGCACCAACAGCGTCGGCTGGGATTTTATTGAAGACAACAACAGCAGCAAGAAGAAGAGGAGGAGGAACACAGAGGGCGAGAGACGTTCACGGCGGGGAGCAGCACTCGGCAGAGCACCGCGCCACGACACCGACCCATCGTCTGGTCACGAGCTCGAGGACGACGACGCTGCAGCACCCAGGGCGCGTCAAGTCGACGCTGTCCCACCCCCACTCCTCCTCCTCCTTCCTACACGCAGGAGACCACGCGCGTCTCCAGTCCTCCTCTCGCAGCCAGCAGCCACGGAAACCTCCTCACAGATTCACTCCTCCACGCCGCGCCTCTCCTCGCCAGCAGCAGCAGCAGCGGCGGCGGTGGTGGCGGTGGTGGCGGTGGGCCATGCCTCCCGGTCCCCAGCTCCTCTCACGGAGTTCTTCTCATCCCGTCTGCCGAGGCGGCTGAGAGCAAGGGGAGTTGTTGCGAGCAGGAGAGCAGAGAGAGAGAGTGGTGGCTGTGTGTGTGAGAGAGAGAGGGGGGCGCGTCGCTTTTATCAGCCCCGCGGTGCGCCTGCTACCACTGCGCCGTCTGTAGGAGGAAATGCACCACACGTGGCTCTCAAGTCCACCACGAGTCGTGGCACTCCCCTGCGCGAGTTGCGCGAGTGTGGGCAGAGCGAGCGTCTTTGTGTGCGCGGGGGGGGAGCCGTAGCGGGGAGCGGTGGTGCAGCGGTTAGCGCGCCGCGCTACGAACCCGGCGACCCGAGTTCGGCCACGAATATCTGAACCGGTCCTGGTCCTCCCCTACGTCGACTCGGCCTCAAGTGAGAACAGTACTCGGTGCCACGTGTCAACATCGCCACGAGGAGACAAAGGCGGCCGGAAGTGGTGCTGGCCACCCACCGCCTCGCGCGCCGTTCCGGCTTTCATAGGTGCTGATCGCGAAGAGCACTTGCCCCAAAAGGTGCCGTGAAGGCGACACGGGGGATTTTTGTCTTTGTGAATCGGAGTGACGTCATTATCCCAGCAGCCTCACACTCCATTCACTTACAGGCTGTTGAGGCACGTGCTGAACACGATAGGGGCCGGGTGCGTCCATCATCGAGCCCGGCCGCCTTTGTCTCCCTCAGTCCTAAAGTCGATCGCACATACGCACTGCCCCAGATGCAGCAGCGTGCATGAAAGGCCGAGTCGAAACCGGACAAGGGTCCATGACTGGTGCGGATAGGGGCTCTCCATAAATGACGTCACGCACCTGGGAGGGCAGGGGGGGGTCAGACATTTGTGTCGATCTAGATTAGATGCTTTCGTGACTGCAGGAATTAATCTTTGTTTATTTTCGGTAAAGTCACGTAGAAATAAGAAAAGTAAAAATAAATAAAATTACATAATATACGACGTTCCGATTGCAACACAAGCAATCATCATCAGGTAGAGGAAACACATAACCGCAGATATATATACAGACCTTAAGTAGGGGGAATTAACACAGATATATACCAGGGGATACAGAGAGACGGAACATCACACTAAATCAAACAGGGTTTAGCTAAATTTGGAAACTATATATAGCAACACGTACGGTCGGTTAAAACACAATTAACGCATAGCGTATTCAACCAGACTATGCGTTAATTGTGTTTTAACCGACCGTCTGTGTTGCTATATATAGTTTCAAAATGTTGCTAAACCCTGTTTGATTTAGTGGGATGCTCCGTCTCTCTGTGTCCCCTGGTATATGTGTTAATTCCCCCTACTTAAGGTCTGTATATATATCTGCGGTTATGTGTTTCCTCTGCCTGATGATGATTGCTTGTGTTGCAATCGAAATGCCGTATATTATGTCATTTTATTTTTCTTATTTCTACGTGACTTTACCGAAAAAACTAAAGATTAATTTGTGACGATGTGTGACGAGGGGGGGGGGGGGGGGGTTGAGAAATGTGACGTCACATCAAAATGCGCAACTTTAAATAAATATAGACAACACGTTCTACTTAATTAAATAGACTTTTTAATAAATGTTTTCTCCTACAACATCAGAGTGCGGCGCCACATTAAATACGCACTACAATGACAATAGTTTAAAGCGATTTGAAGAATGTTTATTTTTTTCTTGGGGGGGGGGAGGGCAGAGCCTTGTGACGTCATATTTGAGGGGGGGTCTGACTTTTTGTAACGTTGTGTGACGAAAGGGCGGGGTCAAAAATCGTCCAAAATAGCGTGACGTCATTTATGGACGGACGGCCCCATACCGCGTTGCGCTGTTAGCCGCGGCCCGGGAGTCGAACCCAAGTGTCTGCAGCACGCGTGTGTACCGTACACGCCACGGCTCCACTGCCTGGTGGTCAACGCTCCAAGTGTCGTGAGTTGGGTTCCGTGCGCCGCGTCAGCTGTGCGCTCGATCAGCCGCTGGTGGCGGAGAGGCTTCAGCCCGCGGGGCCAAGATCGACCGGCGACTTCACATCCCTGTGGCCACACGGGGCAACATTCAACGGACCACCTGCTGCTGCGTCGGTAGTGGCATTACACACTCTGTAATAATAATAATGACAAGAACACTCTGGCCTTCAAAGTAATCAAAATATATAAAAGGCGACGTTTCGTGCACGAGCCCTTAATTGCATATGATGAAGGAGGGCCATTGCCCGAATGGAATGTGTTGATGGATATTGTTAACAGACTACTCGAGTTGATTCATAACATGCAGGCAGGCCTCGCTTAGCGCTCAGAGTTTTGCCAGTAATTCAACCAATGCTTTTTCTTGGTTCTTTCGGTAAAGTCACGTAGAATGGAAATAAAATAATAAAAATGAAACTTTTCATTTTATTTTCATTTTATTTGTTTATTTTTATTTTATTATGTTTTATTTTTATTATTTTTTTTCCATTCTACGTGGTGACTTTACCGAAAGAACCAAGAAGATGAATCCCTGCAGTCACGAAAGCTTTAAATCAAAATTGAACCAATGCTGTTGTTAATATGCACTCCCAGAATGGCGTATGGCTGATAGGACGCGTTAAAAATATATATACATGTTTTTTTATAGAGGGGGAGATATGGGAAGGTAGACTAGCTGCTTGCTGATGGATCTTGTTACATGCGGAATGTTTTATTGAGGACACAGTGGACGTGCTCAGATGGGAATTCCAAATTCTGCACGCTGTGCGAAGACGGGCGCTGTGGAAACAAAGGTGGAAAGGCGTCGTTCTTGCCTTGTGCTGCCCTAAATAGGCGCTCACTAACAGCACGCGCCCTGCGGATGTGCATGGCTCTGCGCAAACCGTTTGTCGTTGTGTATACCTCAGTGCCGGATTATCGTAGTAGCAAAAGTAGCTACACATGTAGTAGCTACACATGTAGTAGCTACACATGTAGTAGCCACACATGTAGTAGCTACACATGTAGCAGCTACACATGGAGTAGCCACACATGTAGTAGCCACACATGTAGTAGCTACACATGTAGTAGCTACACAAGTAGCTACTACATGTAGTAGGTACACATGCAGTAGCTACACAAGTAGCTACTACATGTAGTAGATACACATGCAGTAGCTACACAAGTAGCTACTACATGTAGTAGATACACATGTAGTAGCTACATGTGTAGTAGCTGCGGGCCCCGCACTTTCAAGGGCCCCGCGCTAAACGCTTTCAAGCTATCAACTCCAGTTCAGTGATTCTGCACTTGCTCTATTACTATAGTACTATACCGCCTTCAACTTTTATGAACGACTGGGTGCTTTAGGTTAGCGATTTGTCGTGTTATCGGGCGTATAGCAAATGAAAAAATACAATTACTTTACTATGCAAGTAAAAAATGTGTTTTAATCAGTATTTATTTAGGGCCCCTTTATAACATAATGCTACAGGCCCCGCACCAGCTTAATCAGGCACTGGTATACCTGTGTGTGTGTACATGTTCGCATGCGTTTCTAATTTCCCCCCGACTCGCACCCTTCTTTGCTGGTGGTCTCCAGACAGCAGACTGACAGACCGGTCTGGCGAGGGTCTCCGGGGAGGAGGCAAGGCAGATCGAGACCCCCCCAATGGGGTCTCCAGACAGCAGACTGACAGACCGGTCTGGCAGGGGTCTCTGGGGAGGAGGCAAGGCAGATCGAGACCCCCCAATGGGGTCTCCAGGCAGCGGACTGGGAGTGCGCGAAGCCTCGGGACATTCCACGTCTCGCTGCTGTTGGCAACGAGGGGGCTCAAGCGGGCAAAGCGGCAAGGGATTCCTGCGCGCTGACGGAGAAGCCGAGTCGCCGAGTCTGCGTTTGAGTGTCTGGGATCTGCAGGACGCGGCGGCGGCGGCGGCCCACCGGCGGGCGAGGAGGCGAGACGGTGGCCGTCTGCGAGAGTGGCGATGAAACGCCAGAGCCGCGTGTCAACAAAACACCTCGCTCGAGGCGTCATCGGCGGCCAGGGTGCGGTCGCTTTAACTGAACGCCGCGGGCTGCGCCGAAGTCGGTGGGCGAGGGTGGCCCGCCCGTGAGTCCCCGCGAACTCCACCCACGACCACAGCTCCCCGAGTCCCTGCTGGGGACGCGGTGCCGCCACCGAGAATCCGTGCCGCCCTCGCGTCTCGCGGGTCGCGGTCGGTGCGTTCCTGGGACGATCGCTCGCTCTCCGTCTCTCTCTCTCGCTCTGTCTCTCGCTCTCCGTCTCTCTCTCGCTCTCTCTCTCCGTCTCTCTCTCTCTCGCTCTCTCCGTCTCTCTCCCCGTCTCTCGCTCTCTCTCTCGCTCCCAGTCTCTCGCTCTCTCTCTCGCTCCCCGTCTCTCGCTCTCTCTCTCCGTCTCTCTCTCTCGCTCTCCGTCTCTCTCTCTCTCGCTCCCAGTCTCTCGCTCTCTCCGTCTCTCTCGCTCCCCGTCTCTCTCTCCGTCTCTCTCTCTCGCTCCCCGTCTCTCGCTCTCTCTCTCCGTCTCTCTCTCGCTCCCCGTCTCTCGCTCTCTCTCCGTCTCTCTCGCTCCCGTCTCTCTCGCTCCCCGTCTCTCTCGCTCTCTCTCTCTCCGTCTCTCCTTTTTTTACGATCAGAAGAAACAAGAAAATGCTTGGTGTAGTCGGCACTTTGCTCCGTTCATCATTTCGTTTTTTTTAATG